GTGTGTGTGTGTGTGTGCACGCAACTGTGCATACCGTCTAGGCTCCTGATCTACGGAGAGTATTGCAGCCACATGGAACACGCCCAGAACACACTGAACCAGCTCCTGGCCAGCCGAGAGGACTTCAGGCAGAAGGTGGAGGTAAGGGGCCTCTGGCCTGGCCCCGCCCTGAGGTTGGTTGCTGCTGGCCGGCCAGGGCTCCGTAGACACCAGCCTCTTACTTGCCCATTTTTGGGGAAAGCGACGTGATCAGTTTTTGGTTTTGGTTGCTTTTTTGAGTCGGGGTCTCACCCTGTCGCCCAGGCTGGAGTGCAGGGGCACGATCACGGCTTACCGCAGCCTCGACCTCCTAGGCTCAGGCGATCCTCCCGCCTCAGCCTCCTGAGTAGCTGGGACTGCAGGCGCACACCCCCATGGATGGCCAATTTTCTGTGTGTGAAGATGAGGTCTTGCTGTGTTACCCGGGTTGGTCTCCAACTCCCGGGCTCAAGGGCTTCTCCCGCCTCGACCTCCCAGAGTGCTGGGATGGCAGGCATGAGCCACTGTGCTCAGACTGTGATCGGTTTTTGCGACTGTTTTTCTTGGCATTTTGCTGAGCTGGGGAGTGGGCCGAGCGAGTCCCCCGTTTCAGGCCTGAGCTTGACCCCTGTCCCCTGTTGACCACAGAGGCGGGACCTAGGACCAGATCTGACCCTGTAAGGGGCTGTGGCTGGCCCCCGGCCCTGGCCTCCGCTGATGCCAGGGAACCTGGGAGCTGTGGGACTGCCCGCTGCTCACCCACCCGCACCCCAGGCCCCGGGCCAGTCTGTTGCTGGTGGAGTCTCCATCTGCGAGTCCCTCCCCAGGCCGTTCTCGCCCCCGGTTAGGGGCAGCCAGGCTGTTTCCAGCTGGAGTTTCCGTCCTTCATCTGGTCTGCAAACCTGTTTTCAGTGTGGAGCCACCGAGGCAGCACCCCAGGGCTCTGGTAGGGGTGGGAAAAGCGTGTCCCCCCCACGGCAATGCAGCACCATCGTGGGGGAGACACAGGGGCCCCGCTGCCCTCTCCGAAGGACCTGGCCTGGAGGAAGTGTCCAGGCCGCTGCGGGCAGGCCTGGCGTGCACTCCCCAGGGGGTCCTTTAGAATCGGGGGTCCTGGGGGCCGTGGAGACACCACCCAGTGGGTGAGGCGGTGCCCTGCCCACATGCTGTGAGGCCACCCCACCGCACACCTGGCACGGGGACTGGTTTCGGGACCCTGGCTGGAGGAGGACCAGACCTCTGGACCTGGGACCTGGGCTTGCGTCTCCCCTCCCTGGGCAGGAGTGGGGGTTTCCCGGGGAGGGCAGCTCTCACCGCCGGGTCCCCCCCAGGAGTGCACGCTGAAGGTCCAGGATGGAAAGTTCAAGCTGCAGGACCTGCTGGTGGTGCCCATGCAGAGGGTGCTCAAATACCACCTCCTCCTCAAGGTGAGCCTGGGCCCGGGTCCCTGGGGCCGCCCCTGCGGGGGTGGGGCCAGAGCGGCCACAGAGGATGCCAGGAACAGAGACAGGTCCAGGGAGCTCAGGCCTGGCACGTCGTGCCCACTCAGGGCGTGTGATGCATGCTCCTCACTGCAAATATGGGGAGGGGAAGGGGGGATTACAGTCAAAATCAGTAACGCGGGTGGGAAAATGGAGCGAGACAGAAAAGCGTCCCCAGACCTGGAGTGAGCGGGCTACTGTGGTTGATTGCTTAACCCCAGATCCAGGAATGAGCTCCCTGGTGGCCATGCTAGAAGTGGAATTAGGAGGCCTTCAGGAGAGGGGTCCGTGAGGCAAGATGGTGGTTTTGTCAAGGTGCCACCGGGGCTCATGAATGACACCCTAAGACCTCCCAGCACAGCCCCTCCCTCTCTTCCCATGGTCGCCCCCTCCCCTGGGCCACAAGATTTGGGAGAAAAGGAGGGTGTCCCCCGTGTGGGGGCGTCACGGTCCTGGGCTGGTGGGCGGGGGTGGCTTTGTCCTGAGGACCTCTGTGTACACGCCCTGTGTGGGGTAAGGACGAGGACAGAGGCCAGGACCCCTGAGTGGTGACACACGACACTCGCCTCGCCTTGCAGGAACTCCTGAGCCATTCTACAGACCGGCCTGAGAGGCAGCAGCTCAAAGAAGCACTGGAAGCCATGCAGGTGGGCGGGTGAACTGAGGCAGGGGAGAGGAAGCCATGCGGGTGGGTGGGTAAACTGAGGCAGGGGAGAGGAAGCCATGTGGGTGGGTGGGTAAACTGAGGCAGGGGAGATGAAGTCATGCAGGTGGGTAAACTGAGGCAGGGGAGAAGAAGCCATGCAGGTGGGTGGGAAGAGGAAGCCATGCGGGTGGGCGGGTAAACTGAGGCAGGGGAGAGGCCAGGCCAGCATGAGTTCAGCACACCAAGCCTGTGTTCTTGGACTCGACTTGGGTTCTTCACAAGCCACGACCGTGATGGTGGACATTTTCCTGGACGGTGGGAGGCAGGGCAGGGCCGAGGGTGCGTGTGACCCCGGAAGTAGAGGGGGTGGCCAGTGGTGTCTCCATCCCAGGTGACCTCCCCTGGCCGACCCGGGCTCCCTTGGCTCCCTCCTCCTGCCTCCCCCAGGCACTGGCTCCATGCCGGACCATCCTGCCCGTGCCCAGCCCTGAGGCTTCTGCCCCTGAAATGCCACCCCCTCTCCAACCCCGTTCCCCTGCCACCTGCCTGGGTGGCTCCTTTACTTCTGCGGATGTTGAGGACCCCCTGCTGGCCACGCCTCACCTCTCTCCTCTTCCCCCTGTTGGGGAAGCTCAGCTCATGTCACTCCCCTGCTTAAGAACCTTCTCTGGCTCCCAGTGCCCACTGAGTCAGGCAGGGGCTCCTCACCCCGGCATTCCAGCCTTCCCAGAGGGGACTGGCACCTGATTCTGCAGCTGTGTGGACCGTGAATGCCCCAGATCCCAGGCAAGCATGACCACTCCCAGGCTCTTGGACGTGCCCTGGGGCTTCCTAACCACGGGGCGTTTGCTCAGGCTGTGCCCTCCTTGTCACCTGGCATGTCCTCATTTCTCAGGAAGCCTCCCCCCCACTGAGCTCCGTCCCCTGGGTAGTGGCTTCCCTCTGGACAGCACATTGCCCCTGGACAGATTTGTTCGCACCTGTGTCTCCAGGCCGGGCATAGCAGCGGGGTGGAGGGAGAACCACTCACCCTGCACCTCCCTCGTGGGGAGCACAGATGCCTCCGCCACCCCCACCCCACAGGGCTGCAGCCCTGACCTCTGACACCTGGCCTCTGCCGCCTGCGCGGCCCCTGCGCTCTGGGTCCGGGTCCGCCATCCTGAGCATCCAGTTTAAGGAGCTCCTTTCCGGCGGGGACGGTGACCCCGTCGGCAGCTGCCAGTGGTCCCGGGGGATGGGAGACGGCCGGGCGCCCAGCTGTCTCTGCTGAGTTCCTCTGAGCCGGCCGTGCTCTGGGAGAAACTTCCACTTGTTCCCGTTTCGGGCCCTGGGCCGAGTGTGTGCTGAGTCTTGTGATGTTTCTGCCACACGTTCTCAGATCCTGTCCCTGCCATGGGGCCTCTCGTCTCCGGGAATTTGCTTCTCATTTTATCTTTTTTTTGTTGTTGTTGAGTTGGAGTCTCACTCTGTCGCCCAGACTGGAGTGCACTGTCATGCTCCCGGCCACCGCAGCCTCGACCTGCTGGGCTCCGGCGATCCTTCGGCCTCAGCCCTCCAAGTAGCTAGAACTACAGGCGCGCTACCACGCCTGGCTCATTTTGATTTATTGTAGAGATGAGGTCTCGCCAAGTTGCCCAGGCAGGTCTCGAACCCGCGGGCTCAGGCAATCCACTCACCCCAGCCTCCCAAAGGCGCGGGATTACAGGCTGAGCCACCAAGCCCGGCTTTCTCATTTTATCTTATTCTATTTTCTGTATTTACTTTTGAGTTGAGGTCTCGCCCTGTCACCCCAGCTAGAGTGCAGTGGCATGACTGTGGCTCACCGCAGCCTCGATCTGCTGGGCTCAGGCAATCCTCCCACCTCAGCCTCCCAAATAACTGGAGCTACAGGCGTACACCACCACACCCGGCTAATTTTCTTATTTATTGTAGAGACGAGGTCTCGTCATGTTTCCCAGGCTGGTCTTGGACCCTTGGGCTCAGGCCGTCCTCCTGCCTCAACTTCCCAAAGTGCTGGGTGGTTCGGGCTGCTTCTCATTTTAAGGGCAAGTGGGCAAGGAGACAAAATCTATTTACAAAACATGAGCTGCGGTTTCTCTTGGGGAAGCTCCGTCCTGCGGGCGTGGAGGCTGGCCAGTGTAGACCCCAGGATGAAGTGGGAAGTGGCTCCAGACCAGGCCTGGCCAGGGCAGCCGAGGGGTGGGTTCCCATGTGGACCACGTCCAGGGACGACGCAGACTTTCCCGGCGGAGGGGGGGCACTGCCCTCTGGTGGCCAGTGGGAGGGCTGCAGCACCGTGGACGAGCTGAGAGTGGGGGTGCCTAGGCCCCGGGTCCAGCGGGAAGGTGGTAGCTTGGCAGGGCTGGGGACGCTTCCCGAGAGCAGAGACGCGGGTCTGTCCAAGTCTAGGCGGCTCTTTTGTGGCTTGGTGTGGCCCTGCACACAGGGCTGTTTCCTTCTCCGACGTGGAAGAGGGGTCACGTGATGGGGTGGAAGGCGTGGAGTTTGGGGCTCTTGTCACCGGTGTGGCTTGTGGTTCTTGGTCTGTGTGTGGCCTTCCCTGCCTCAGTTTCCCCGTTTGTCACGTTGCTGCCTGAGGACAGCCACCCCTGGCAGGACAGAGGAAGGTGGTCCGGAGAGGCCCGGCGCCTGGACCTGGGGTGGGCAAGGCTGAGCTTCCGCACGCCCCCTCACCCCACTGCGAGCCGCTAACCGCCACCCACCTCCCTGCCTCTGTTATTTTCAAGGACTTGGCAATGTACATCAACGAAGTCAAACGGGACAAGGAGACCTTAAAGAAAATCAGCGAATTTCAGAGTTCTATAGAAAACTTGGTAAGTGCAATGGACGCCTCAAGCCAGGGAAGGCTGATTGATTAGGGCTGTGTGTCTAAAGCTGCTTTCACCATCTCTGTCCGGGCGCGGTGGCTCACGCCTGTAGCCCCAGTACTCTGGGAGGCTGAGATGGGAGGACTGCTTGGGGTCGGTAGGTTTGAGACCAGCCTGGGCAATGTAGCAAAACTCTGAATCTACAAAAAAACTAATAAAATCAGCCAGGCATGATGGTGCCTGTAATCCCAGGTACTTGGGAGGCTGAGGCAGGAGGATCGCTTAATCCCAGGAGTTCAAGACTGTGGTGAGCCATGATCATTCCACCGCACTCCCGCCTGGGCGACAGAGCGAGACCCTGTCTCCACAAATAAACAAAAGTAAAGTAACTTCCACGATCTCAGGACCGAGTACGCAGAAGGCTGGACACGCTGTCCGTGGGCAGCCATGCCAAGACTGTCTACCAAGCGGGAGGTGCCCTGACAGCTTCTGAATTCCCTCTCGGGCTTCTGGGAGCCCTGCTCCTAGGCCCACCTCGGCCAACCCAAGGTGCCCTACGGGCTGAAACCAGGCCTCTCCTCGGGGCAGGGAGGTCGGGACCGTATTGATGGCCGACATCCATACTTCCTCTCAGCCTGGACAGGAAGACTCCCCCAAGTCTATGGAGAGCTGTAACTCCCAGGGCAGGAGACGCCTCCTGGTCCGTGGAATTCCCCTCCCCGCGTCCCAGCCCACCCTCACCTCTGGAAGGGGCAGTGGACAGGGTTTGGTTCTGGAGCGGGTGGGGCCGCCCTTGTCCCTTGGACTCTACCAGACACTTCAGTACCTCCCGGGACCCTCCTCTGGGCCTCCTCCGTGAGAGGCCGGGCTCGGATACTGGGTTGGTCACCACGTTCCCCATTGGGAGAGGAGACGGGTCACCCCCAGGAGCTAGTATTCTGTGGTCTGGGTGACCCAATGCCCATTTCTCAAGGATACCTGGGGCCCGATCACTCTCACCTGCCTGTGCATTATGGGATGTTAGCACCCCGACCCCCAAGTGATGACAATCAGATGTCTCCAGACACAGCTGGACGTCTCTCGGGTGGCAGTCACCCCTGGTTGAGAACTGCAGGTTTTTACGCATTTTCCTGTCTGGTGATTTTCATTCTCTAGAAGCTTTCCTTTTTTTTTTTTTTTTTTTTTGAGTTGGAGTCTTACTCTGTTGCCCAGACTGGAGTGCAGCGGCCGCTTCCGGCCACTGCAGCCTCAACCTGCCAGGCTCCGGTGATCCTTCTACCTCAGCCTTCCAAGGAGCCGGAACTATAGGCGCGTGCTACCTACCCAGCTTTTTTTGATTTATTGTAGAGACAAAATCTCATCATGTTGTCCAGGCTGGTCTCGAACCAGCAGGCTCAGGCAATCCTCTCGCCTCGGCTTCCAAAGTGCTGGGATTATGGGCTTGCATCATCGTGCCCGGCCATCTCCAGAAGCTTTGACAGAGGAAGACCCCAGAAACCCAGGCCAACACCTGGTGCTCGTGTGCCCGGATCCAAAGACCCCAGAGAGAACTCCCATCACAAGCATGTGGTGTGAAAAACACTCACGACATATCAGTGAGAAAGAATTTGCCAGACAGTGTTTGATACCGTCCCCCTTCCTCAGCCCTGTAACCCCAGCACTTTGGGAGGCCGAGGCGGGAGGATGGCTTGAGCCCTGCAGTTCGAGACCAGCCTGGGCAACAGAGTGAGACTTGGTCTTTTTCACTCATTTAGAAAGAAATGACAGTGCTTGAGTGCAGAGGAGGTCAGGGACGGTCATGGCCCACACGCCAGTGCCTTGCCGGGGCATTGCTGCCACGTGTTCCGGCGGAAGGCATTCTAGATGCTGCTGCACAGTGGACGGAACGCCAGGGAGGAAGTGTGTCTTGTTCTTTAAGTTTTTACATCTGATGATCATACTTGTCTATTAAATAGCAAGAATAACATAGCATGGTGGCTCACACCTGTAATCCCATCACTTTGAGAGGCTGAGGCAGGAGAATTGCTTGAGCCCAGGAGTTCAAGACCAGCCTGGGCAATATAGTAAGACCTTGTCTCTACCACAAATTAAAAAAAAAAAATTAGCTGGATGTGGTGGCATGCACCTTGAGTCCTAGCTGCTTGGGAGGCTGAGGCGAGAGGATCGCCCGAGCCCAGGAGGTCAAGGCTGCAGTGAGCCGTGATCATGCCACGGTACTCCAGCCTGGGTGACAGCGTGAAACTCCTACTTAAAAAAAAATGACAAGACAGCGCGAGGTCAGCAGGTGTCGAGTGTCATTCCATGAGCAGGACCTGGAGTGAGTGATAGAGCAGATGCAAACCCACTGGGCGTGGCACCAGGGCTGCCCTTGGCCGGGCCCTTGGCAGCCTCCAGGAAAGGCAGAAACCTTGGAAGAAGACACTGGCACCATCCCTACAGCACTGCCAGGACGTGGCCCTGATCACATTTGGGGGCGTTTTTTCCCCCTCTACCCTTTCCTGTCTGCATGGGCGCTTTCTTTAAAAACCACACAGAGACCATGTTGGAGAAGTCCTCTCTGCATCAGAGATAGGAAACAAATAAAACTTTGAGCGAAGTGGCTCATGTCTATAATCTCAGCACTTTGGGAGGCTGAGGCGGGAGGATCACCGGAGTCCAGGAGTTCAAGACCAGCCTGGGCAACTTGGCAAGACCTTCGCTCTACAATAAATCGAAAAATTAACTGGGCGTGGTGGTGTGCACCTGTAGTTCCAGCTACTTGGGAGGCTGAGGCGGAAGGATCGCCTGAGCCTAGGAAGTCAAGGCTGCGGTACCCGTAATAGTGCCACTACACTCCAGCCTGGGCGGCAGAGTAAGACCTTGACTCAAAAAAAAAAAAAAAAAAAAAGAAGAAAATGAAATCTCAGCAAACCAGATGGGGTTTTTTTCTCCCAAAGCCTCTCTCTATGGAAGAGGGACCCCGGCAGGACCCTGCCCGCCCTCATCTGAGAGCACTGCTTGTTCTCTCTGATTTGTTTCCTCGGGGTTGGGCGTCTGGCTTCTCCGACCGGGTCCCGCTCTGGCCTCCACACAATGGCGGCTGTGACCATGACCCACCCATCAATTGCTCTTTGTCTCCAGGGCTGAAGGGAGTCCCGGCAGGGCCGGCCGGGAGGGGGACCAAGGCTTCCTAGCCCAGCTCCTTCCTCATCCTAACCGCCAGCTGGGACCACTGGTCCACCATCACTGCTCCCGGGGCGTGCCCCCCGCCCCGCCCAGGTTTTCAGAGGAGCGGAGTCCGCCCGGGAACCACGCTGATGGCCTGTCCCTTCTGTCTTTCCCAGCAAGTGAAGCTGGAGGAATTCGGACGGCCCAAGATCGACGGTGAACTCAAAGTCCGGTCCATCGTCAATCACACCAAGCAGGACAGGTGAGTGGTGCACGGGGTCCTGGCCACCGGCCCCAAGGAGCCCTGCAAGCGTGGCCTTCCTTGGACCGAGGTGGCGGCTTGGTGTCATTCGGTCTTCACCGCTTCTCGCCGAGAACGTCGGGGCCGCGTCGTGAGCGCTGCCCCTACGGTGGGTCTTTCGTGCCCACAGCAGGTGCTGGGTGGGGCTGGGGGCAGCCAGAGCCTGGGGACAGGGCCCATGCATAGTCTGTGGGGACCGAGACAGACCTGGGGGCCCCGGGGAGCTCTTGGCCCAGTGACTGCGGGGAGGGCATGGGCTGGTGACAGTCCATGATGGTCCAGGTCCTCCGTGTGTACTTGCTAAGTGTGGGGCCTGGGGCTGGGGCCACAGCAGGTACGCTGCTGCCTTCTGGGGGCTTCCGACCTCGTGGGGGCTGGAAATGTAAACTGGCCAATTAGGGGTCAGAGCTGGGAGGAAAGGCCAGCTTGGGGGAGGGGGAGCCACTTTGAAGGCCCTCTGACCCAGCCTCATCCCTGGATGGGGGACCCAGGAAGGCTTCCTGGAGGAAAGAGCAGGACCCGGCCAAGGGTCAGCATTAGCCGGGTGATGCAGGTGAGGGTGGAGCTCGCTCTGGGAGAGGGAACAGTGTCTTGCAGCCGACCACAGGCACCGTCCTGGGCCACGGAGCCCAGCGTGCTGACGGGTCCCGGGCTGCACTGTCCGGGGCAGGTACTTGTTCCTGTTTGACAAGGTGGTCATCGTCTGCAAGAGGAAAGGCTACAGCTACGAGCTGAAGGAGATCATTGAGCTGCTGTTCCACAAGATGACGGACGACCCCATGAACAACAAAGACATCAAGAAGGTGAGCATCCCTGGGCTTCCTGGTGGTCACCGCCGGCCTCCCAAGAGTGGACCGTGCCAGGCCCGAGCAGGTGGGGGAGGCCTGGAGAAAAGGTGCCAGTCCCGGACCCCGCGTGAGAGGGAGTCCAAGCCCACCCAGCAGAAAGCCTTCTCAGTCACCGCCCTGTCCCTGGGTCTATGACTGCAGGCATGCCCGCTCCGTGCTGAGCCCACTGCTCCCCGGAGCTGGGTGCAGTCGGGACCTGGCTCCCCAGTGAGGAAACCAAGACCCAGATGGCACAGGCCCTGCTCGAGACTGCAGTTAAAGCGGGGCTTTCGACCTTGGCCGGCCGGATGCCAGCCCACGGTGTCTTTTGTAGCAAGCAGGCCTTCCTGTATCCTCCCCACCCTGCAGCGTTTGGACCTGGGCTGTGGCTGGGCCTGGCGGTGGCTTGTCAAAGGCTCTGTGTCCCGCCAGCTGGGTCCCAGACTGCAGGGGCGGGACTGAGGCTGCTGGGGCCAGGACCAGGACTGCTAGGGGTGGGGCCACGATGGCTGGGGTGGGGTCATGGCCATGGGGGGCACGACCGTGGCTGCTGGGGAGGGACTGTGAGTGCTAGGGGTGTGGTCATGACTGCTGGGGGCAGGGCCATGGCGGCTGGAGAGGGGTCGGGACAGCTAGGGGCAGGGTCTTGACTGTTGGGGTGTGGTCATGGCTGCTGGGATGGCACCTCGGCTATGGGGGCGAGGCTATGATCCTTGGGGAGGGGCCTTGACTCCTGGGGGCGGAGTCATGGCTGCCGGGGTGGGGCTATGGCTATTAGGGGCGGGAACCTGGCTGCTGGGGGCGGGGCCAGGGCCTCTGGAGGCGGGGCCGAGGCTGCTGGGCGGGGCTATGGGTGTTAGGGGTGTGGTCATGGCTGCTGGGATGGCACCTCGGCTATGGGGGCGAGGCTATGATCCTTGGGGAGGGGCCTTGACTCCTGGGGGCGGAGTCATGGCTGCCGGGGTGGGGCTATGGCTATTAGGGGCGGGAACCTGGCTGCTGGGGGCGGGGCCAGGGCCTCTGGAGGCGGGGCCGAGGCTGCTGGGCGGGGCTATGGGTGTTAGGGGTGTGGTCATGGCTGCTGGGATGGCACCTCGGCTATGGGGGCGAGGCTATGATCGCTGGGGAGGGGCTATGACTATTAGGGGCGGGAACCTGGCTGTGGGGCGGGGCCAGGGCATCTGGGGGCGGAGCCGTGGCAGCCTTGTTCTCTGCCTCGCTGAGGCTTTTGCACCCAGCACTTGAGCACCTGCCGTCTGCAGTCCTGGGCTAGGGTTGGGAGCTTCTAGCCCACGAGCTGCAAATCCGGCCCTGGCCTTCAGAGCACGCAGGGAAGGGTGCAGACCCAGCGTGCGTGGGCTGAAGAGCTCTTGGGGGTCACCCTCCCGGCCTTGATGTCCAAAACAAGGCCCCGGGGCCCAAGAGCCAGGGCCTCCCGGGGCCTGCCTCGGCAGCTGGCCCTCCGGAGGACAGCCCTTTCCCCGGCCGTCCTGGGCCTTTGGCCGTGGGCAGCGTCTGCCTGTCCCGGGCTGCTGTGCCTCCAGCCCTGGCACCCACCCCAGGGCCGGGCGTCTCTCTGACTGTTTCCCTTCTCCCTCATGCTTCCTAGTCTCATGGGAAAACGGTAAGCACCTGGCGCCCAGGCCGCCTTCCCGCTCACCTGAACCCCGGGGCGGGGCCTGAGGGGGCGGGGCTCAGCCCTCCCCCTCCCCTGGTTTCTGAATCACGAGTGGCACGCGTTCATGGTGGCAGCCTTGCCCGCTGCAGAAAGCTCGCGGTGAAGCCCCGCCCACCGAGTCCCTGGAGTCCGGGGTCAGGGGCCGCCCGCCTTTGCTGGTCTCTCTGGCTCTCGCCGTCCTCCCCGCCTCATCTTTTCCCCCTTCCTCTCTCCGTCCGTGTGGTGTGTGTGTGTGTGTGTGTGTGTGTGTGTGTGTGTGTCCCCCGTCTCTTCTGCACATGGCTCACACCTGCCCAGCTCTTCTTCCTGGGCCCCTTTGAAAGCCCTTTCCCCGGGGGTGGGGCCGGGGGTGCGCGGGCAGGGGTGCTTGCTTGGGCTCCGTAGCCGTCCCTGCCTTTTTTTTCTGTCGTTTGACTTCGGGGAAGTGAGTGTTTTTAGCATTACATCGAGGAAGTGAAAGTGGGAGCGGCCCCGGGTGAGCTGAGCACCACTTCCTGGGGACCTGCGCCCACTGACACATGCTTGTACATATGCACAGAGCATTTTTTTTGGGGCGGGGATCGGAGTCTCACTCTGTTGCCCAGCCTCGGCCACCGTGGCCTCAACCTGCTGGGCTCAGGGGATCCCTCCGCCTCAGCCTTTCAAGTAACTGGAACTACAGGCACGTGGTACCATGCCCACTCATTATTTATTTATTTATTGTAGAGATGAGGGCTTTCCAAGTTGCCCAGGCTGGTCTTGACCCCCTGGACTCAGGCAATCCTCTCTCCTCAGCCTCCCAAAGTGCTGGGGTTGCAGGCTTGAGCCAATGCACCTGGCCACACAGAACATTCTTGCACATGGGCAGGAGCACATACATCCCCACAAACACATGCATGTGCCTGTGTGTGAGAGCACATGGACACATGGGCGCACATGTGCACCTGCAGGGATGTGTGCACTCACGAGAGCCCTGTGTGACTCAAGGCGCATGCCTACATGCACAGATATGCATGTATAAGATCACACTAGCATACATGCACATGTGATGGCACAAGTTCACCTGTGTTCTCACATACATGTTAGAGGAGATGGGCACACGGTTATACATGCAAGCATGCACACACACACACATAAGTGCACGCAGGCACTGACGAGAACACCTGTCTGTACACACACATCGGAGCATGCGTTGCCATGGGCGTCTTGCATGTGTGCATATGCACGCCCCCACGTGTGTGGTGCTGTGCTGGCTGCCAGCATGTCCCTGTCCCCCTGCAGTGGTCCTACGGCTTCTACCTGATTCACCTCCAAGGGAAGCAGGGCTTCCAGTTTTTCTGCAAGACGGAAGACATGAAGAGGAAGTGGATGGAGCAGTTTGAGATGGCCATGTGAGTGCTGGAGTCACCCGGGGCACCCAGAGGGCGGGATTGGGGAGGGAGCCCGGCCACCGTTTGCCCGTGGACTCTCTTGGGCCAGGCGGTTGGGAGGCGGCGTCAGAAGGCCAGAGACCAAGACGGGCCCTGCACTCCCAGCAGCCAGCCCACCTCACCACATCCTAGCTGTCGAACAGGTGACCTGGGCGAGAGGGCCACCGCCTGTCCCAGGCAGGCTCCGAGGCTGAGCCTCACACACCTGACGGGCAGACAGTGACTGGCTGGGAGTGACTGTGGTGCTGGAGGGCTCCCGGGGACCCTAGGCGTCGGGGTCTTGCAGGTTGGTGGCTTGACACCTATTTGTGGGAGCCATAGATCGGCTTTTCCTGAGCTGACACTTGTTTGTGACAGCCACGGATCTGTTTTTCCATGAACTCAGGGAACACCTTAACGTGTGAGACAGAAAAAGATGATGGGTGGTCCCGGGACACGCTGAACCCAGGGGGACAGAGTGGCCCGGTTCATCCAGGCTTGGCCTCTGGGCAGGTGGGCTGAAGCCTTGGGCCAGGTGTGCTGGCTTCCCTGATCTTCCTCCTGGTGGTGGAGACGGGAGACAGGCCCTGCTCTGGCGTCGCTGGGAGGGCCAGGCGGGATCCTTGGATGTGACGTGATGAGGCCTGGCTTTCTTGAATGACGGTGGCCAACGGGTTTACGGAAAGCCCTCCTTCTCAGCCACTTCTTGGTTCCTGCGGGTTACCATTTACATGTTCTGTTCTGTTTGGGGGTTTTTCGAGCCAGGATCTCACTCTGTCGCCCAGCTGGCATGATCAGGACTCACCACAGCCTCCACCTCCTGGACTCGGGCGATCCTCCCGCCTCAGCCTCCCAAGTACCTGGGACTGTAGGCCCACACCATCACGCCCAGCTGGTTTTTGTATTTTTATTTTTTCGGAGAGACGTCGTCTTGCTATGTTTCCCAGGCTGATCTCCAACTCCTGGACTCAAGCGACCCTCCCGCCTCGGCCTCCCAAAAGCACTGGGATTATAGGTGTGAGCCACCGCATCTGACCTGGGGTTGTCATTTTCTTCCCTGCATTTTACTGGAAAAACTTTCAGACATGTGGAAGGTGGAAAGAATGTTATGGAAAACACCCAATGTCTCTCCACGGGGCCACCAACCGCGTCTGCAGTCTGTCTGTGTCACCCATCCCGCCCACCCGACGGCGGACCTGTGTCAGAGTAAACTGCAGACCTCCCAGCTCAGGGGCGGCCAGGAGCCAGAGTTCAATGTTTGTTCAGCTTTTGCAATTTCATGCTCATGTACAATAAAGCGAATGAGCCCTAAGTGCACGTTTTGCCAAACACCCACTCCTGCCCACACCAGACTCCAGTCAGTCAAGACGTCAGGGTTATTATTACCTCTGTTCCAGTGATCCGTGACCTTTGGTGTTATTACTATTGAAATTGTTTGGGGGTACTACAGACTGCAGCCATATAAGATGGTGAGCTTCATACATAAAAGGAAAAAAAAGGCACTAGACCGTGACCATTACCTAGAAGGTTCTTCGTGCCAACACGGCATCCTGTTTATCCCAAACCCTCGTTCCTCCCACAGGGAGTCTGCCCGCAGGTGTGGCATCCAGGCCTCCCGGCTTTCAGGGCCGCCGGGTAGTTCTGGGGTGGTCTCCACGTTCGCGGGGCCCAGGGCATCATCGAGGGCAGCTCTGTCTCTCTCCCTCCCTCAGGTCTAATATCAAGCCCGACAAGGCCAACGCCAACCACCACAGCTTCCAGATGTACACCTTCGACAAGACTACCAACTGCAAGGCCTGCAAAATGTTCCTCCGGTGAGGGCCCCTCCTCAGCCCCTGGCTGCACACCCGCCCCCGGCTCCCGGTGAGCCTCGTGCTGTCCTTACCCCGCGTCCTGGCCCTCCTTGGCCCTGCGTGAGGGTCTGAGGGTCTCCCAGAGCATCCTACAAGCGTCAGGCCCAGCGGGGCCCTTGAGTTTGCCAGGAGGTGATTGTCCCTGGGTGCCCGGTGACACTGCAGGGCGGGAAAGCCAGGCTGGAGAAGGTCGGGGGCACAGGGGCTAGGCTTCCCCGTGAGGGGGGGTCCTGGATGCCTGGGGCTGTGTAGGACGGATGCCCCCCCGAGAGGCAGTCGGCCGAAGGACATGTCTCGCCCTCACCTCTTGCCCTCCCCTGCGCAGGGGCACCTTCTACCAGGGCTACCTGTGCACCAAGTGCGGCATCGGGGCCCACAAGGAGTGCCTGGAGGTGATGCCTCCCTGCAAGATCAGTGAGTACTGTCCCGCCCTCTGCCGCGTCCCCTCTCGGGACTTGAGCCCTGGGAGGCTGGACCTTGGATCGAGTGTGTGTCCCTCAGCTGAGGGTCTCCCCCTGAGCTGAGGGTCCCCCCCTCTGTGCTGTGCCTTGCGTGCACATTCTCACATGGGGCAGGGACCAGATGAGGAAACGGAGGCTCAGAGAGGGAAAGACACCTGCCCCAGGGTCACACAGCCAGGGTGGGTTCCATTCCAAAGCCCTGGCTCCTCACGGATATGCAAGACTTTCTCTCCCCCTCCTGCATCCCTGCCCCATTCCCTGCCCCAGCTTCTAGAATTTCCACCCCCTCAAAACGGGCACAGAACTTTCTCAGCAGGTGCATGAGGTTTGCAGTCACAGAGAAACACTGGTCACCTCGGGTCCTTCCGCTAGGAAAGGCCTGGCCGTCCATGGCTACAGCTGTCTGAGTCAGTGGTCTCATGTGCACACACACGGACATGCACACTCGTGGCATGTACGCCATTCCCACTGTTCATGCCCATTCACGGAAGCCTCAGGCCAGGGGAAGTGGAGGGTGGAGCCTGGCTGGCCACGGGCACAGGCAGAGTCGGCCCTGTGCTCCCAAGACTCCTCCGAAGCGTCTTTGTTTGGCGGCTACATTTAGGACTTTGCAGGGGGACACCCAGCTTGGCAAAGCCTGGGAAAGTTCTGAGAAATTTCAGAGGTCAAGGTTTCAACCCGGCCAGGCGTGGTGGCTCATGCCTGTCATCCCAACACTTTGGGAGGCTGAGGCAGGAGGTTTGCTTGAGGCCAGGAGTTCAAGACCAGCCTGGGCAACATGGTGAAACCTCGACTCTGGGAAAAAAGAAAAAGAAAGAAAGAAAAAAATGTCACCTCCATCATCAGCCCTGGAAACTGATGGTTGAAGTCTTGAATGATATGGCCACATACCTTGTAGCAGAGCCTCCGTTCAACAAAGAATCCCCGTGAGCCCAGTCGAGTCTCTGGGTCTCCTCTGGCCTCTTGGGAGTATCGTAAGAGAAAAACAAATCAGGCCGGCCCAGACGGCATTTTCAGCGGTGACTTTAGATCAATTGTTAATTCATCACTGACTGAGCGCTGGCGGGCGGCAGGTCGGCCCGGACCCCTTGGCCCCGCCACAGCCCAACCCGGGTCCTCCCCCGCCCCACAGCCATGCAGGGATCCCACCGCCCCCGGTGTCTGAGCTGGACGACGCGGCCTCTCGGCTTTGCCAGGCAACACCGCCCTCTGGTGGCCGCGCACCCCTCTCCCCGCCCCAGGCGGCGGTTCCTTTCGACCTTTATATTTTTCCTGATTCTACAAGTGCTGTGCTCACTTGTCAAAGACTTGGAGGAAAAAGAAAGAAATGAAGTGAAAAAGAAAGTAAAGGGCCAGACGCAGTGGCTCACACCTGTCATCCCAGCACTTTGGGAGGCTGAGGCGGGGGGGATCGCTTGAGCCCAAGCAATGTAGCAAGACCCCAGCTCTACAAATAAATACGTGAAAGAGAGAGAGAGAAGGAGGGAGGGATGGAAAGGTAAGAAGGAAGAACGTGAAGGTCACCTATGAGCTCATCTGGAAATAACCACAGGCGATGTTTCGGTATATCTCTTTTCAAGGTTTTGCTTTTAAAAAATCATTTTCCAGCCGGGCTTGGTGGCTCAGCCTGTAATCCCGCGTTGGGAGGCTGAGGTGAATGGATTGCCTGAGCCCGTGGGTTCGAGACCCGCCTGGGCAACTTCT